TACTTGTGGGCGCAACATAAAGAGAGTTGGGTTATGTTGTGTATCGCACCGAAAAATGCTATATCGTAACAAATATTCAAATAATCGGTGACAGGCATTATTAAACGAGGCGCCAACTTCTTTGATTTCCTCAAATCTAATGTCCGTCCCAACGCGTACAAAGATTGGCCACAAATTATTTAACCAGACGTATATACTCACGTTGTCATGTTTCGCTCAAAAAACACCAATATTGTTGATGGGAAGACTACTCCTGATTTCGACGAAACTTTCATTTGACTGGTTATACGCAATCGTTTCCGTGACTAGAGGGCACATTTTAACAAGTTTATTCCCGATCAAGTCTCTCACAATTCCGCGAAGAACTATGCACATACACGCTTTGTATCCGCTTATGTCACATTCAGAGAAATTGCATTTTAGAATAAACGTTTTACAGTTTGGGTGTTCGCAATACGCATAACTCGTTAGTTTTCCTCCTTTTTTGGAGAAATGGTGTTTTTCAAAGTTGAATATACCATGTTGACATCGTAATATGCACGAGAGAAAAGCGCGTGTGCTAGAAAGAGATAAAAGCACCTCGTTGCCTTGCAACCCGAGTACGAGGTCACGGATGCCATGGGCGCACTCTTTCTAACATACATATTGCACGCTTCACTCACGTATCCATTACGACGACAGCTAAATTTGAACCTCACCGTATATACTTTTCCACTCAGTTTCGCTTAATGAAAATTTGCCCTCAAAATACTGACATATAAGATCCTGAGAATTAAATCAAATTTAAATTAGAATAAACCCATCAGTGCAGCTTATGGTAAGAAAAATGAATTATCTATATTTTATCAAAAGATCAAGGGTATGAACTCAAAAATAGATGAGTTCTTTGCTCAAGTTAGTTTGGCAGAATATGATTTATATGCAATAACCGAGACCTGGCCAACTCCCAGTGTACACAATTCTGAAATTTTTGATGGTCAGTACTCTGTAATGCATTGTGACAGAACAAGGACTAGTGGGGTGGCGTGTTACTAGCAGTAAACAACAAATTTAAACAACTTCCCTAAGACCTAAGTTACTTTAGCCAATCTAACCATGGTATCGATATTGTTGGTTGCTGCATATATAACTCATCTATGAAGCTTTATGTCTTTGTAATTTATGATATCAAACCAAGAGTGTGAAGTATCTAGAGATGTACCCATTGCTCGAGAAGACCCTCATCAGCCTGCTCTTTCGGTTAATGTCAAAATTAGTAAAGAACACAACCCAGTCTTTGAGTTCAACAATACCGAGGTGACGCACAATTTCAGTAAAGCTAATCTTTGTAACCTCTATTTAGACTCCTTAAATATTGACTGGCATTGATGTTAGCGTGAAGCGGATGTTAATACCTTGAATAGTCATTTTTATGAAAATATTTTGGGTGTTATTGAAAAGCATGTTCCTAAATTTAAACAATTCGTAAGACGTTACCCAAGATGATATACAAGAGATATAATCAGTGATATAAAAAAAGCACCACTGTTACAAAAAGGAAAGTAAACTGGGAATTTGGAGCAATATAACAACATTAAACTTCTTAGATCTAAGATAAAGTTGAATGTTAGCCATGCATACCAAAATTACATAGATAATGTTCACGATAACTTTTATAATAATCCCAAAGGATTTTGGACTTTTATAAACTCTAAAAAAAAGAACTCTAGAATACCTGTCGACATGTGGTGGTGATCAGAATTTTCATGACCCGCAATTCATTGTATCAAGATTTGCTGAATTTTTAAAACCGTATATAACAATTCATATGTTACTTGTGACATAGACCAAGAAGCATGTAGTTCTGAATCTCTCTCAGTTCCTGTTTTTAACGAAGAATGTATAGTAACAAGCTGCAAAAAACTAAAGCCCAAGCGATCTAGTGGTCCAGACGGAATCGCGACATACATTGTAAAATACTACATTAGAGCTTTTCCTCTATGTCAAATTTTCAACAAATCGCTTCAAGATTGTGTCTCTCCGGACTGCTGGAAGGCCTCCAAGGCATGTCGTATTTTTAAGAGCGGAAAAGTGAATTATGTAAAGAATAATAGGGCAATATTGCTCGTATGAGGTTTTTCTAAACTTTTTGAGATGTTTCTTTATGAATACATATATATATATATATATAAAGAGAATATGATCATGCGGAGAAAAGTATATAACAAGTAGGAAAATAATGGGCAAAATCCGCAAAAAGGAGGAAAGTGGATTCGAGCAGAAAATAGGATAGGTAACCCGAGCGATACGTATTTCTGCTGGTTGGCTTCATCAGGCCCGAAATGAATGCACATATGAAACTACAAAAGTAGATACACATGCCCACACATCCGGATACGGGTGTAACCTGAGGAAACGAAGTTGGAGGGGAAAAAACGACACACGAAGTCCACAACAAGAGCCAACCTACACATTGTAGTATAAAATATATATATATATATATATATACGACCTCGAATTTTCAAGGAGACGTCTAACCACCACCACGCGGCCGGTTATAGCCACTTGCTGTGATACTTCAAGCCCAAAGGATCTACAAAGAGAATATGATCATGCGAAGAAAAGTATATAACAACAAGTAGGAAAATAATGGGCAAAATCCGCAAAAAGGAGGAAAGTGGCTTCGATTCGATTTCCCCTCCAACTTCGTTTCCTCAGGTTACACCCGTATCCGGATGTGTGGGCATGTGTATCTACTTTTGTAGTTTCATATGTGCATTCATTTCGGGCCTGATGAAGCCAACCAGCAGAAATACGTATCGCTCGGGTTACCTATCCTATTTTCTGCTCGAATCCACTTTCCTCCTTTTTGCGGATTTTGCCCATTATTTTCCTACTTGTTGTTATATACTTTTCTCCGCATGATCATATTCTCTTTGTAGATCCTTTGGGCTTGAAGTACCACAGCAAGTGGCTATAACCGGCCGCGTGGTGGTGGTTAGACGTCTCCTTGAAAATTCAAGGTCGTATAGCCATTTTATACTACAATGTGTAGGTTGGCTCTTGTTGTGGATTTCGTGTGTCGTTTTTTCCCCTCCAACTTCGTTTCCTCAGGTTACACCCGTATCCGGATGTGTGGGCATGTGTATCTACTTTTGTAGTTTCATATGTGCATTCATTTCGGGCCTGATGAAGCCAACCAGCAGAAATACGTATCGCTCGGGTTACCTATCCTATTTTCTGCTCGAATCCACTTTCCTCCTATTTGCGGATTTTGCCCATTATTTATATATATATATATATATATATATATATATATTATATATATATATATATATATATATATATATATATATATATATATATATCCTAGTATCAGTAACGTGTTATCGGAAAAACAACATGGATTTAGGAACAAGATCGACAGCAACTAACTTATGCTGCCTCATGAATTATCTGTCGTTTGCTGTAGATCAACAATAACAGGTCGACGTTATATTCACGGATTTCGCAAAGGCATCTCTGGCTGGATAAACCACTCCATTTTGCTTAAAAAAAAATGTATGAATTTGGGTTTTCTGAGGGCTTGTTGATGCTTTTCCGTTCATATTTATCTGAACGCGTTGAATTTGTGCAGTATAACGGCTTCAAATCAGAATCATACATGGGAGTGCCACAAGGTACTAACTTGGGCCCCCTACTATTTTTGATTTGTGTTAATGATATCAACCATATTGTAGCGTTTTTCTGGGTTCTTTTGGGTGTGGACTAAAACACTAAATTGCACAAAGGGAAATGCACTAATTTATTTACCTTGACTAGATAGAACATTTATGTACACACCACTATTTATGTCTGACTAATTCTTATGTCGCGCCACTGACTGGACTATACTGCACTCTGGTGTACTCTGTACTCTGCTTCCATCTCCCGGCCGTCGAACTACTTCCCTACTTAAAAGACTTATTCAAAATTAACAGTACTGGAAAGATTATATGTTTTTCAGACGACACCCTCTTATTATACAGGGTGACTTCGAAGTTGAGTCATTTATTTTAACAGTGAGTAGATCTGATCAAAAGAAATGTTTTTTTCCTTTAACATTTTTCTGGTAAAATTCAAAGTAACAAAGTTATAGCCCTTTGGAACTTTGAGTACCGCCCTGTCTCAATAATAATGTGCTCGTGTTTGGCAACAACGGATATAATCCGCCTTATCGGTTCATCGCATCGGAAACAAAAAAGCGAAAGAATTTGGAACTATGTTTTTACAATTATTTTATTCAGTTCAGTTATACATACAGTCAGTGTCAGTCGAAGGGTTTATCTCTGATCAGTCGTAACGCGTGTTAATAGTGTCTGTTGGCTCAAACGAAATAAAAAATGGCACATGTTTATGCGGATCGGTTTCCCAATCGAGTGCAACCAACCCCTCGTGACTTTGTTAATGTAGTACAACGGGCTCGTGAATCAGGTGACTTAAGACCTCACAGGGGACCTCACGATCAAATACAGGTCCGCACTGAAATACTTGTCGGGAGGATACTTTATAAAACAAGGTAAATTTTTTTTTTATTTTTACACACATATTTTGGTTTATCTTCCTTCTACAATCATTATCTGAAAATTAATGACTCAACTTCAAAGTCACCCTGTATAGTCCCCATCGCTGATTCGAGAAAGGTCTGGCGAACCACAAAGCGGCATCTAGAATATTCGAGGCCACTTCGCGTCAATCCAGAAGGCGAGTCACTGGTATTATCCTCAACACATGTCGCCACCGAAGGAGACTGGCACGGTCCCCAATAGAGATCGGCCAAGAAGTTCTGGCGAGTAGGAGAGTCTCCCTACAGATGGCGCCAACAGTACTATTTATTATCATCACACCGCCCCCTCCCAAAAGTCATTCCGTCCCGGAATGACCTTAATGGCGCTGAATGTCGATATCGGCACGACGGCGCTCTCTTACAGTAGGAGTTCTTGAAGAAGTAGCAATCCACACTCTTTCCTAGAGGTAACCGTCTAGGACCTGTGACAACATACCAGAAACCGAATGCCTGTATAACGGAAGACTACCTCAAGCATGCTTCGGATGATTTTCCAGTAAAGGTTGTCCAGTCCACATGCCAGCTTAGGTATTGCCAGTTTTCTCAGGTCCTCGGCAAGCAACACTCGTCTAAGAGAACACAAAGCGTTCCAGACATCCTCGTAATTCGGTTCTTGATACGAAGCTTTCTTGGTAACCAGATAGAAGATCTTCCGGTTGGTACCCTCTTCAGTTATCTGGAGTACTTCTGCGACTTCGGGGTTAGATTGTCGCAGCTCGTGCACTCTTCCAAACTTCCTAAGAAAGCCCTTTGCTATACCTCTCGACATTCGCAAGTCTTGAGCCACACAGTGTGCCAGGGCATACTCTGGTGAAGTGATAAACAGATCTTGCTGTACTTCACATGTCACGCCATACCGACTCTTATGGCCATTAGCATGGTGAGCTATAAATTGATCAAATATCATATTCGGTTCTGGATCGGTTTGCCGTACCGCGGCATCTTCGTTGTTTCCATGATAAGGTGCAAGGCTGTTGAAATGTACAATTCGGGCTTTACCGCGTGGTACCTTCTGAATCCTGTAGAGAACATCGTTGATGGCCTCCAGAACTTTATATGGCCTTTTCCAGGACGATTGATGTTTAGGCGACAGCCCTTTTTGCCTCTTTGGGTCGTAAAGCCAAACCGTATCACCGTTGTCGTACCTCTAGTATTTGACATTAACGTCATAAGCTTCCTTCATCGTCGCTAGCACCTTGAATTGAAACACGAACCTGGCTATAGATGGCGTCCATTCTTCTACTCAGCTCACTTACGTAGTCTTCTCCGGCAATATCAGTTCCTGGTGGACAGCCAAACTTTAGATCGCATGGGAGACGAAGTTCTCTTCCGATTACTATTCGAGCCGGGGTCTCTCCTGTGCTTTCATTAATCGACAATCGGTAAGCCAATAAGAAGAGGTGAAGAAAACTATCCCAGACCCTTTGATGGCTAGAGACTACCGTAGCCAAATACCGTTTAACGGTCATATTCATGCGCTCCACCATTCCATCTGACTGCGGGTGTAAGGCCTGGTCTTCTTAATCCCACGGATTTGACAGATATTTTGGAACAGATTTGACTCGAAATTGCGCACTTGGTCCGAATGCAACTCTAAAGGTACACCAAATCGGCAGATCCATTCCTTTACTAAGGCATCGGCTACCGTAGAGGCTTTCTGATTTGGCAGAGCTTATGCCTCAACCCACTTGCTGAAGTAATCAATTACCGCAACGATGTATCTATTTCCTGCTTCACTTTCTGGAAAGGGTCCCGCCACATCAATAGCAATCCTTTCAAAGGGGCTGCCCACGTTGTATTGGCGCATCGAAGCTTTTGGTTTCCTTGGCGGTCCATTACTTGCCGCACACACAACGCATTTCCTGCACCAGTCTTTTACGTCCTCCTTGCTATTGACGAAGTAAAATCTTTATCCTCTAAACAGGGTGTCCTCGATAAGGCATCTGCATCTCCATGGATTTTTTCCGCTCGATGTTCGATGTCGAAGTCAAACTCCTGCAGCCTCTCTATCCATCTTGCAACTTGACCCTCTGGAATTTTAAGCTGGAGAAGCCATTTTTAAGCTGCGTGATCGGTCCGGAGTAAGAATTTCTGCCGTAGAGGTATTTGTAGAAATATTCCATTGCCTTTACGATGGCCAGCAACTCCCTACGGGTAACGCAATTGTTACGCTCGGGTTTGGACAATGTTTTGCTAAAATACGGAATGCTCTTCTCCTCTTTGCCTTCTTGGACTTGGGATAATATAGCACCTATGCCCAGATTGCTAGCATCAGTGTCTAACACAAAGTTTCCTTCTGGCAGTGCTTAGCTGAGTATGGGGGCACTTGTTAAAGCTTCTTTCAAGTGGGCAAAAGCTTGTTGGCAATCCTGATCCCATTGGAATTGCGTTCCCTTTCCGTCAGTCTGGTCAATGGCTTTGTAATGTTAGCAAATCCTTCCACGTAACGTCGGTAATATGTACACAATCCTAGGAAGCTGCATAGATCACGTTTGTCCTTCGGAACTGGCCATTTTTTTACAGTCTGGATTTTCTCCTTGTCGGCCGCGACTCGCCGACGAAACAACATCGCCAAGATACTACACAGCTCTTTGAAACAGGTGGCATTTCTTTGTTCTTAATTTCAGGCCAGAACCTCGTAGCTTAAGAAAACTTCCTTTAGGTTCTTCATGTAGTCCCCAAATGATTTTCCCACCACGATAATGACATCAAGGTAAACCAGGCATGTTTTCCCGGATAGTTCTCTTAGAATTGTGTCCATCAGCCTTTCAAAGGTGCACGGGCCGAATGGCATCACATCAAACTTCAATAATCCGGTGCCCACCGTGAATGCTGCCTTCTCCTCATCTTCAGGGGCCAATTCTACTTGCCAGTATCCGCTTTTTAGGTCTGGGGTGGAAAACATTTTTGATCCAGCCAGGGTATCCAGAGTGTCATCAATACCCGGTAGAGAGTAGCTGTCCTTCTTGGTCACGTTGTTTAACATTCGGTAATCCACACAAAATCTGGTTGATCCATCTTTGTTTTTAACCAAAACTACGGACGGTTCAATGATTCTCTCTTTGGCCATACTATCTACGATCTTGTCAGTCTCCTCTCTTTTAGCAAGTGGGAGCCTTCTTGCCATCTACCGGATGGGGCGGGCATTTTCCGTATTGATCTTGTGCTGGACTATATTGGTTCTTCCTTTCTGTCCAGTATCGAATACATCCCGATATCTATGTAGTAGATGTTACATTTTCTAACTGATGGGGCTTGTTGGCTACAGGTCGACGATAGCCCCTTCACATCGACCTCCTTTAGTTTTCCGGAGTGGCTGGATGAGGACTAGCACCTTCAGGGCAGCATCTCCTAACGAGCCCTATTTTTCCAAATCTCCAGCAATACAACTTGCTGTTCTGGCGGCGACGTTCACCCTCATGTTCCTTAACAATGTGCCCAAGTTAGCGCACATACTAGCTTAGGTGGATGTGCTAGTAGTAAGGCTTGCCTCATTTCACCATCAAGAAGTCCATCCAGGAATGCTTGAACTGCCAACCGCTCCATTATCGTATCCTGAACATCGGGATATGCTAATCGTAAACCGCACAATATCCGCTTCGAACTCCTGCAAGGACTTGTCTGACTTCTGGAACCGTAGACCTCTTGACCTCGTGAGTGCAGTTGCCTTCTCGGTCGATGACCAACCATTTGCATTCGCGGCTGCCTCAAACTGACGCTGGTAGACATTCCAAGGCGTTGTAGCACCAAATTGCGGCGGTTTCATTTGCAGATGACCAGCTGACCCTACAGAAGCTCCAACCTCACTTGATGTTTCCAACGGAAGTTCACGCTGTCGTTCGTCGATGGTCTTGACGTATAAAGCGGCAAACTTGCCTTGCACTTCTTTAATTCTGTCCTCCAAAGTTTCTAAAATCCGTTTTTTCAACTCTCAAGATTTTTCCATAATTTTATCGTCCAATTCTTTTTTTAAATTGGCAGTATTTTACAAAAACTTCTCTTCTAATTTGGCTGTACTTTCCAAGAGTTCTTCTAGGTTGACACAATTTTCCACGAGCGTTTTTTCTATCTTGGTCGAGTTTTCTAAAAGATCCGCACAATTTTCCATGAGCTTGTTTTCTTACTTGGTCGAAAGGTTTTGTAGCATTAAACAAATATCCCCTGCGCCGGTAAAAATGAAAATATCCGGGTCCTCACCTTCCTCAATCAGTGCTTGACGAAGCCGCTCGTCTAATTCTGCTTTATTTCCAGCCGTGTCGCACTTTCTTTCCTCCAGCTGTCTCTTTAAGCCGGCAATTTTCAAATAAACCAATCGCGTCATTATTCCTTCACTGATCGTCCGATTTATTTTCACCAAATGTTCAATAATCCACACCCCACACCTGTCACCAATGTAGCGCTTTTCTGGGTTCTTTTGGGTGTGGATTAAAACACTGGATTGCACAAAAAGAAATGCACTAATCTATTTATCTTGACTAGATAGAACATTTATGTACACCACTATTTATGTCTGACTAATTCTTATGTCATGCCACTGACTGGACGATACTCCATTCTACTCTACTCTGGTGTACTCTGTACTCTGTTTCCATCTCCCGGCCGTCGAACTCTATAGTCCCCATCGCTGATTCGAGAAAGGTTTGACGAACCACAAAGCGGCATCTAAAATATTCGAGATCACTTCGCGTCGATCCAGAAGGCGAGTCACTGGTATGGTCCTCAACAGATGTCGCCACCGAAGCAGACTGGCACGGTCCCCAACAGAGATCGGCCATGAAGCTCTTGCGAGTAGGAGAGTCTCCCAACAGATGGGGCCAACAGTACTATTTATTATCGTCACATTATAATAACAGTATAAAACCAAATGTTTGCGGGCGACTTTTACTCAGTAATTCATGGACAAGAGAACTTAGACCTTTTGCAGGAAAATTTAGACAGCATTCTTGACTGGTGCCAGAATAATGATTCAATGGGGCCGTTCAAGTATTACGTGAGCACTATGGGGGGGTCTTTGCTTTGCTTATTTTGGATGACATGGGGTCTAGGGGATTCTAGATGATGATTACGACATCGATAGTTATTTACTTTTTTACACGAATGGCAACGCTCACATTGTCTTTGCTTGAAAACGAAACGCATTTTCGGGGATTCCTGCAAATACTGCATACGTTTAGTAAACAGCGCGCGGTAATTCTTCTACTCGCTTTAGAACCGAGTAGGGGAATTACCGCGCGGTGTTTGCTTGTCTAAATTTCCTCTATCAGTGTATTGTTTCGTTTGGATACTATACTATACATTGATTCCATTAGCCAAAGTTTAATGTTTAAATAAGATGTCGTTTCACGTAGACAAATCCAAGTTATACCAAAAATTGTTTGAAAGTTTTAAAAAATCTCATACAAGTACGAAAGTACAAAATGTACAAAAGTTAGTTAAATAACATGAATTACAAATTACAAGCAAAATCCTAAGAGAATCGAAGAAGAATTGCAAGCGGCGACTAAGAATAAATCCAATCTACAAAATTCGTTTTCTAAGATGAGTGACGAAATCATTTTAGGTACCTATGAGTACTAGAAATATTAGAAATCGCCAAAACGTTTCTCTTTACTGATTAGAAAATATGATGGCCTATCTCAAAGTATAGAGTAATATTCATTATATTATAGATTTATTTATTATGATTGATTCCGTCAATTGGTCACAAAGTACAGGATGCTAGTTTTATACATATATGTAGGATAAGGTTATTTTATAATTTTTATTTTTTTTTATTTTGCGTAAATGCGTAACCCTTGATTCTCGATTGACGACGCCTATGCGCTGCCTACGCCACTGAAGGAAGAAGCCTTCTAGAACAATCTAGAAGCCAATCGCGAAAGCGCCTCACCTTTTGTCGCCTGACGACAAGGAAGCCTGTGCTCTGCCGCCGAGCAAGAAGGACATAAAAAGACGCGAACTTAGACGCAGACGGCGTAGTATACACTAATTTCATTTCGTGTATTTAATTAATAGACGGCTATTTATCTGTATCCACGGACTCGTGATTTCAAACCCCTAGACAAACAACCTATAGCCCTACATTTTGGGGGCTCGTCCGGGATACAATACTATAACCAAACGTATAAGGAGACAGATAAAACGCAAGACGAAAAGACGTGGAGAAAGTTGTGTCGAGAAAAACGAGGTAAAACCCTAGATGACCAAAACCGAAAACCCAGAAGCAGACGAAGCGAGTGAGTCATCAAGCGCGCCGCTGACGCCGAATTTGCCGCAACGACGCCACGAGGCAAGCACGAGTTATATCAGCCGTTCCTGCTGATATGATAGGAATACTGCCGACGATGCTACTAATTTCCTAGAAGACCTAGAGTTTACTTTATTGTTCTCAACACATTTTACAGTCAGTCAGATTTAGGCCTTTGTACTGTTTACATCATAATAACATTGTAATAATTTTGTAAAAGTACAGTTTTGAGTTTTGTATTTTCGAAAAATAAACTTTTTAAAAAGCGATCTCGAAGCATCGATCTCATAACTGGCGCAGTCAATCCAGTAGGATCAGAAATACGCGACCCGGGAAAGACTTTCGCAAACCGTCGCGACGGGACTTTTCGGGACTCTATCCGGCCTTTTTGGACTTGGTGGCATTCGTGTAGTGGCAGTGAGCACTGGAGTGGATTCATATTTTTGGATACTCAATCCATCGAGGAACCGGCGTGAACAGCTACATACGAAGGGCATCGGAATTTGGGACCACATTGGCCAAGTTCGCAAGGATTCCAGCCTGGGGAAGACAACATTGCAGAACCAGCTAGGATCTTTATAGGAGTAAGAGATGCTAAAGATCGCTTTCTTAGTGTTGTAAGTGCACTTTATTTTTTTCCATTTATCGCTTCAAATTTCAAGTAGTAGAGTATTGATATATCGCAAGCCCTTGAGAATTTGGACCTTAATACTGACTCTCCAAATACTCGACGGTACTCTAATATACTACGTGAGCCCATACTTTCACAAGTCCCTGTACATTCAATACCTACAAGTATTACTACAACTATGGCTACTTTTAGGCCCGAATACTTAAGTTGTGTGCCCGAATTTGACGGCCACAGTAACGATCTCAATCGATTTTTGCGTGTAAGAAAATCCTTGATTGACAATTTTTATGATCATTCCAATCCAAACAATTTTCAAAATACATTTTTATTGAACTCCATTCTTTCAAAGCTGAGAGGACATGCCAAATCTTTAATAAACATTCATTCAGTGAACACCTGGAGTGAACTCGAAACTTTATTAGTTACCAGTTTTTCTGACCAACGTGATGAAGTGTGCTTACATAGAGACCTTTGCTTACTAAAGCAATATCAAAATGAGAGCCCTCAAAAATTTCACGAAAGATGTTTGCATATTTTAAACAATCTGTGTAGCTACGTTAATATCCACGAAGCTACCGAAAGTGGTAAAGCAATAAAACGCGATTTGTATCAAAAACTTGCGTTAAAGAATTTCCTTTCAGGCTTGAAAGAACCATTGGGCACCACTGTCAGGTGCATGAAACCAACCTCCTTGAGCGAAGCTCTTCAATTAGTGATTGAAGAACAAAATGTGCATTATTTCCAAAACGTTTCATATAGAGTTAAGACAGATTCACAGAATTTTACAAATTTTCAAAATTCGCAGTTCAGACCTGCACGCCCAGTTAATATGCCTTATCAAAATTTTAATTCTCGTACGCCTAATAGCTTTTTCCGTGCGCAATTCCCATCTCAACCCATCCAAATTCAACCTAGGCCAAACTTAAATCAGCGTTTCCCGACTAACGCTGAAGTCTTTGGCAACCAACAAACAAAGAATCCGAATACAAACGTTTTTAAGCCCAATTCTTCAAATCCAAGAAATCTTCCCAGGCCGACACCGATGAGTGTCAGCACAAGAAACACAACACGTCCACCATTCGCTCCAATTCCGGCGAACACACCTCGACCTCAGCAAAATTTTATCTTTGAGGAACTGTATAACACCGAGTTAAATGATAACGCAACATATGAAACTTATGATACAGGCAATTTTGCTACTAACGCCGAAAATAATTACGATGAATTCTATGATGACCCCAACCACAATATTTGTCAATACGATCATTACAATACCGATCAAAATAATGAACTTGACATGCCCAACCCAATCTCGACATCAGGAAATGAAAATTTTCCCCCAGCCAGCCAGGTTATTCAACCGACATAAACAGTGAAATTATATCGTTCAATGCTAGCAACACAAAATGATTGAGCTATATAGTTTTTCCCGAATATGACATAAAACTTTTGATTGACTGCGGGTCTACTAGGTCATTTATAGATCCAGACATCGCATTCAAATATTTTCCACAACAAATCAAAAATGAACCATTCATTGTTTCATCTGTATTTCAGAAATCCGCCCATAAATTCAGTACTTTAATACCAGCATCCAAAATTTTCAATTTGCCTCATCTAAAGGAATTAAAATTTTACTTGTTCAAGTTTCATGATTTTTTCAATGGTTTGATCGGTATGGATAACTTAGAAGAATTACAGGCAAGACTCTTATTTCAAGAAGGGTTTCTTGTGACACCGTATGCAAATATCAAGTTGCTTTATCAAAAACCTAAGAATAATTTGAATTTTGTTTCCATCGAACCTCGCACTGAGCTTGTCATAAAAGTTAAAACATCCATAAGCGATGGCGAAATTATTATACCCCACCAAAAAATCCATAATTGAGAAATACCGGAATGCTTGACTATTGCGAAAGATAGTTATGCTTTGACGACCTTACTGAACAATACGACAGATACCGTTACACTCGACTTTTCTGAACCCCTGTCTGTTGAACCATTTTACCAGTCTATACATCCGACGATATGTCGAGAATTTGATCTTAATAATATCAACGATTCTCCAGCCAATAAACTAGACTATTCCAAAATTAGAGTAGACCACCTAAATTCAGAAGAACAGTCCGCAATCCTCAAACTTTGCAAAGAATTTTCGGATATATTTTATCGTGAAGGCGAACCACTAACTTTCACAAACAAGATAAAACATCAGATTCGAACTACTGATGAGATCCCAATTTATTCCAAGACCTACCGGTACCCCTTTGTTCACCGACAAGAAGTAAATGACCAAATTCAAAAAATGTTGAAATCGAACATTATTAGGCAAAGTAATTCGCCATATTGCTCGCCCATTTGGGTTGTGGCTAAGAAGATGGATGCCTCTGGCAAACAGAAATGGCGCGTCGTAATAGACTATCGTAATCTTAACGATAAGAATATTGATGACAAATATCCACTTCCTGCACTCTCCCGCCAAGCCGAAAATCATAATTTTATTCGAGAGAAAACAGCGGCTATTAGTGCAAATTTCAAAGAACAACCTTGAATCAGATGTTGTAAATTTTGTCAAGGAATATATTGTACCCGATGTCCCATACTATATATATTTCTCAGGCGCTTTACAAAAGTATTTTAAATGGCCCTCTATCAAGTTTAAAAGGTGTCTTGAAAAACTTCTAGACATCACTAGTAATGATGAAATTAAAAGTTTAATACAAAATTATCATGAAGGGAAATCAAATCATCGCGGGATCGATGAAACCCATTCTCGCTTAAAACAAAAGTACTATTGGCCAAATTTGAAAAGTTCCGTTCAGTCATACATAAATGACTGCGAAATCTGTCAACAAGCCAAATACGAGAGACACCCTGTTAAAGCGCAAATGAATATCACTCCCACTGATGTGAAGCCATTTGAAATAATTCACATGGACACATACACATTTGAAAAGTCTAAATTTTTGACCATTATCGATAGTTTTTCAAAGTACGCTCAAGCTTATCATCTCAATTCAATGACAGGTACCGAAGTAGCTGACAACCTTATCCGATACTTTTCCCATCATGGAATCCCGACACAAGTTATTACTGACAATGGCACCGAGTTTAAAAACTCAGTCATATCCGAGTTATTAGGTTTACATGGAATCGAAATACATTTCTGTTCCCCGAACCATCCCCAGTCAAATGGCGTAGTCGAAAGATTTCATTCGACAATATCTGAGCAACTCCGAATTTTAAACACTCAAGGCTTTCAAAAAACATCTGTTCAAATGAAAATGATATACGCAATCTTAGCATACAACAACTCTGTTCATTCTGTGACTAAATTAAAACCCATCGATGTCATAAATGGTCATCTCAGTGAAAAAGATACATTTGACATCAGCTTAGACCAAATTTTGTTGAATGATTATGTAGAACAACACAAAGCACGCAGTAAGCTATTATATACCAAAATCAACGAGGCGCTTGTTCAAAATAAAGAAAAAGTAATTGAAAAGGCAAACATAGCTCGAGATAGTGCAAACATATTTCAACCAGGTCAGAAAGCATTCGTTAAGAAAAATATACGTCAGAAAAATGCAAATAAATTCCAAAAATCATGTACACTAACATCAGTCGATCCTGGTAAAAAGACCGCTACTACTGATAAACACAATAAAGTACATATCGATAATTTGAAGCGTCCCCTTCGCAAACCATATTCATTTAGCAACTAAATGTTTCTCTCCAAGTACGACATGCATACATGTAGGTATTTGCAGATTCCTGCAAGTAACGGTTGGACTTCAGGATAGCATAACTATACGTAACCTCGACAACAATCCAGGACTACTTCCCGTGGAAATTGGTGAAGCAAAAGTAAAAGACTATGACTTTTCACTCATTCATTATTATGATATGAATCCCATCATTTCTGAAATTGAAAAATTATCAATTTCCTCCTCACGTATAGCAGAAATCATTTCTTCAAATTTAAATGTCACTACATATTTGTCCAATTATTTCAGAACATTAAAATTTGTTCAGC